GGGCCACTTAGGCTGGAGCTTTTCTCTGCTCATAACCACACACATCCACGCCCTCCCTGCGCTTCTTCCTTGCTCCCTCTCACTCTGTCCCACAGATGCCATCAGATACCAACACCCACGTGCTCACATTCACACCAGCTCACCTGCAGGCCTACGGGATTTCTCAGGCCACTGCAGTGACTGACAGTCAATCACTCACACTTCAAAACAAGGGAAGTAAACCAACATTTTCTGACTGCCAGGCTCTGTGCTTTTGGTATTTTATCTCATTAATTCTCACTATAAACCAAGTGTTACTATCCCCATTATACGGGTAAAAATATTTCTTCCCAGGTGCCCCACCTTTTTCGGCGAAGGATTTGAGAAGTTAAGTAATTTGCTGAAGGTCACACAACTGGCCAGCTGGCAGTTGAACCCATATCTCTTTGACTCCAGGCTCTATTTTTCCCATGATGCCTTACCACATCTTCCTATGCAGCCTCTCAACTCCCCTCTCCCTGTACATATACACCATCCTCAGGGAGAGGCCTAGGAGCAAGAGGTTGAGCATGACCTCACCGTGACTAACTGGGAGGAAATGAGAGGTAGAGGAGTGGGGAGGCAAAGAAAGAGTGGTTGTGTGGTAACTGCCTCTGTGTGTGATATAGACACAGGAGAGCAAAGGATGAGCCACTGCCCTTGGTGAAGCTCTGGTTGGAAGCCCCAAGCTAATTAGTGCAATTAGGAGTTGCAGCCAGGTGCTGGATAAACTTCAGTCCTGAAGTTACATGAGCAAGGGATGTTGGCTCATCAGGCAGTTTCATGCTGTGCCTGTTAACTTCCTGATCCCAGGAAAGCAACCTGAGATTGTGTGGGGATAATTGTGGGAAGACCCAAGGACCCAGGAAAAAGGCCACTCGTCAGTCTCTAGGAAAGATAGGACAAAACTGAGAGGCAACAAAAAATAAGGCCAGATCCCTGGACAGGAAGTCCAAAGTCCTGGGTGTCAAATGCTGTTTCTGTCACTCATTAGTTGCTGCCTTTATCTTTCTGGGCCTCAGTTTCCTCAAGAATAAAATGGAGACATTTGCATTAGATGACCTCTAAGGCCCTGTAATCTGTGTGTTATGGTCCCATCACTTTTCTCATGCCATGTTCTAACTGGTTAGTTTGACTTCCACTCCCCTTTTATTTTTTCTTTGAAGAGGATGAGAGAGAGAATGTCCATTTCTTCACCCTGAGCTGGAGAGAGTGAGGGGAAACATGGAATATGGAATCTTTCCAGCCATTATGCTCTTCTGTGATCCAGTGAAAAGAATCACTTCAAATTTAGGGACAGAGACAGAAGGACCCAGCAGGCTGGATCTGGGGCTGACCATTCATTCTTTGAATATCTAGTTACCCCTAAGCTCTAGATAGAGGGTGCCATTTGTAAGAACACAAATTACAATACTGTGCAATGATTTCTGTGATAAATGTAAGAGGATTGAGCTCTGGGATACTGCCTGAGGTTATCACCAAAGAGATGATGTCTGAAGTGGGTTACAACAGAAAAGTAGGGGGTTTTTAACTGGCAGGCAGGGGCAGCAAAAATATTCCAGAGATATGAGACAGCGGGTGTGAAGGCTCACTGTTATAAAAGGGTGTGGCTTTGGGGGAACTGTAAGAAGATCAGCATGGGAAGAGATGGTGGAATCATGAGGCTGGGTCTATAGGCCGGGCCAGATTATGAAAAACTTTGAATGCCCAGCAAAGAATTTAATCCTGTGAGCCTTCCTGAGGAACATGCACTTTGCCAAGAAGCACAACAAGAAGGGCCTGAAGAAGATGCAGGCCAACAATACCCAGGCTATGAGTGCACGGGCTGAGGCCATCAAGGCCCTCGTCAAGCCCAAGGAGGTCAAGCAAGCTCAGTTGACTTGCCTACACTGCCCACCCCAAGCTTGGGAAACGTGCTCAAACCCGCATCGCCAAGGGTCTCAGGCTCTATGAAATGGGGAGAATAATGGTACCTATCTCACAGGGTAGTTGTTGTGTGTGTACCTCACAGACAAGTGTCTAGGACATATATATGGTATAAGTATTTGCTATTATTATTACTGTGTCAGAAGGCATGGAGAGACTCAAATTTGAGAGATACTTCTGGTATAAGATCACGAGGGTTTTGGCAATGGTTTGGACATGGGCAGCAAAGGATAGAAAAGGGTCCAGTGTGATTCTTAGATTTTTAACTTGTCCTGCAACTAGAGATCAA